GCGAAATAACAATCAGACAGAAATTAACATCATACATTTAAGTATTGATCTGCAATTGCTTAGAAGCATTACAAAACTTAAATTTAGAGCAAATTAACATTGTCGAGTGAAGTGTGTTTATACTTCATTTTCAGAGAATATATATATATATATATATATATCAACTCAAGAATACACTGACTTCATTAACATGGAACATCAATTATTCATTCAGTGTGAATCATACCCCATCATCATATGCCGTCAATGCAAGTATGCAGTATGGCCAACAGAAATTGAACGGCATTTGAAGGGTTCAACTCATCAGTTAAAGTATACAGCCACACAGAGTATCAAGCAGATAATTCAACAGTGGGATCATATCGCGCATGATCTCAGCCAGTTGATATTATCCACAGAATTGAACAAACCAATACATGAGCCGCTCATCCACAATGGCTACATGTGTTGGCGGCAATCTGAATGTCAGTATGTTGGAGGAACTATACGGAGCATGTACAAGCACTGACAGACCCAACACAGCTGGACTCCATGTCTCAGTCAGGGTTGGATGTCATCACAAAACCATATGCAGGTACAGAATGAGATCAACAAAGTAAATAAAAATAGCAAAATATATAAATAAACTGAAAGGGTTCATTCTGGAGTGATTTTAAACACAGAAAACCAAACATTAGTCGAACACGCTGGACCCAAGCCGTTGGACGTCAAACCCGTTGGACGTCAAACCCGTTGGACGTCGAAGCCGTTGGATGAGCGCATCAACCCGTTGGAAGTCGAACACGCTGGACCCAAACCCGTTGGATGTCGAACCCGTCCAAGGAGCGCATTAACCCATTGGACCCGAACCCGTTGGATGAACCCATCAACCCGTTGGATGAACCCATCAACCCGTTGGACTCAACCCCGTTGGACGTCAAACCCGTCCCAGGAGCGCATTAACCCCGTTGGGAGTTTGAACACCTCTGGGATCTAAACCCGTTGGGACGTTCAAACCCGTTGGATGAAGGAAGTCGAACACGCTGGGACACAAAACCCGTTGAACGTCAAACCCCGTTGGAATGTCAAACCCCGGTCCCAGGAGCGCATTACCCCGTGGGGGAGTGAACACCGCTCGAACCCAAACCCGTTGGACG